CTACTTGCCATGGAAAAGAAGTTTTGTTTTTATTTATTTGTAGGTAAATGTTCCAATTACGTATACGCCTTTTGTGCAGGTTTATACTACACAGCCCGATGGGAGATCAATCATCCCTGTTCGAATTAGGTCGAGTTATCTTATCTCTTATACTCATTTAGTTTTACTATTAAAACTGAATACAAAAGTTTGACTGTTACTATCATGATCACATTGGAAACTAACCTATTTGCTAGTTATAAAGTTAGATATATTGGTTGTTCGTCAGTATGTATGGAGGTTTCGCTATTGATAAGCTATCTCTGACTTGTAAATATAATTTTAGCTATTTGGCTCTATCTAATTCTAAATTCGTGTTTTCTACAATCTTGGTTATCGATTGAGTTTGTATTTATGCTGTTGTTTCTTCGACCCGCAGTCACATTTTGGTATAAATCTCTCTATAATCACAATGATATCAGGGAATTAGTACTCACATGAAAGGGAAACTGTAAGATATGGGCAATAAATCCATACAAAATCAACTCCTGTTTAAACATATGCAATCACTCGTAGAAGACATGTGGTAGTTGCAAATACTTGTAAAAAGAGCAGTATTTTGACCGTTGTTAATAGTTATCAATTTCCCCTATGGGTTTCATGATAATACTGAACATTTCTTTGGCCATCACGTGCATTTAATGTATTACCAATTCCGGAACAAAGTACGTTATTTATTATTCTGATCTAATAGCAACACGAAACATGTCAATGGTCAGAGTGTTTGTGTAAGATATAAACAAAACCATACATTCGTTTGGCTATTGTGTTTTCAAAGAGATAGCTTTGTTTGATGTCACCTTAACGTATATCAGTTCATTGCTGCATGGGCTCAAACACATACAATACGATACAACACCAAATTTTATCTTAAATGTATTGATATAACGGTGATACAAGATGAAGAAACAAACACGATTCGGAAGAATGTGAATGGACATAAGGTATGTAAACAATTCCTGTTTAAAGTGTCATGTACAGGTGTTGTAATCTTGTGGTTTCAGAATATACGTAATATTCGTTTAATAGGAAGCGGGCGCCATCATTTATGTTATCGCAAAGAAAACACATGTTATAGGTGTATTACGATCAGGTGTGAAAGTGCCTTTTAATGTCTTTACATACTTCAATACAGGTACATCAATGTAATGGTAAGAGTATCATTCTAAATTTCATGATAAGATGATAGTTAATTAGGATGGTGGTTTAACCTATCATGTAGGCTATGTTCTAGTCAACAGTAATCACACACACATATTGTTTACTGTTGTGTTTGTGTGTGATTGGGGAGGCGTATGTGTGTGTATGGGGGTGTGTGTATGTGGGGGGCGTATATGTGTGTGAGGGAGGGCGTAAGTTTTCACGTGTGTGTATGTTGGCGTATGTGTATGGGGCGTTTATGTGTATGGGAGGGCGTATGTGTGTGTGGGGTATGTGTGTGGGGGCGTGTGTGTGTGGGGGGGGCGTATGTGTGATGGGGGTATGTGTGAAGGGCGTATGTGTGTCTGTTTGGGGGGCGTTTGTGTGTGTATGGGGGTGTATGTGTGGGGGCGTATGTGTATGGGGGCGTATGTGTGTCTGGGCACATGTTTGTGTGGGTGGCATGTGTGGGAGCATATGTGTGTGAGTGGGGCGTAGGTGTGTGGGGGATATATGTGTGTGGGGGCTTATGTGTGAGGGGGCATGTGTGTGGGGGAGGGGGTTGTGTATGTGTGTGTGCTCGGATTTAAGTGCATTTGTATACACAAATGTAGGTAAGTAAGCTGACATTCAGTGTAAAGACATGCCTTCTATTGCCTGTGCCTGTGGCCAGTGTCCATCTCTAGCAGCTGACAAAATTGATGTCGCCAAATACCGTTCTTGTGACGGTGACATGTCTCACAGTGTCATCTGAACACACTCGGAACACACCGAAAAGTTTCTATAACACACCTAGTATTTTTGTATGATACATCAGGTTTCTTAGGTCTTTGATAAAAGCCAGAGGTAAAGGGAAGTTTTGTGCACCGTAAGTGCAATCCTGGTTAAAACGTAGAAGGGTTGGGTTGTTGAAATATAACCGGAAGCAACACCCTAAAACGAAGTTATTGTATATTGATCCGTTTTGGAGGTTTCGAAAATTCTTTTTCACTGTCCATGTTAAACGTATGTGTCTTACTGGAAGGCTGCTTAAAATACATTTACTTGTACTGCGTTTGTTAGGTCATATCTTGGGAAAAGGATGGAAAAATCATCTCATCAGGTCAACTGATAATATTCCAGACACACCAGATGGATGGTGTTTGTTTCACCGTTACATTGACATGTGTAATACACAGTCACCACAAATATGTGTAATGAACGAAGCGTCAGGACAGTCGTCTGTTAAATGTCCCAGTCATACGTAATCTAACTGGATGCTCCTTTATGCACCACATAGCATTTTCTTGTTTTTTTTTTTTTTTTTTGTCTTTACAGAGATCAAAACGACTTATCTTAGATATAACAGGTCACTGAGACATTGAACTACTTTTGCACATTTTAGAGTTAAACTCCATTATAGTTCAGGTTACTGCACTGGTCGAGAAATAAATAAGTTTTCATATAGACTTCTTAGATAATCATATATCGCGAAAAACAAGACTATATGCCGAATGATAGTCTGCTTTGATTTAAGGACAGTCATAGAAAATGTGACCTAGGCTACATGTTGACGTTCTTGTAAAAATATCAAAGATATGTAAATGAAATTAAGTAAATGGACTTATGCGCCTCCCTATCTAGATTTCAACATTGCTTTTACTTCACTAAGGGAGCTCCTTCGTCGCCTCCTAGGTTTCAAAACGTGTGACTCCTTTAAAAAAAAGAACGAAACAGCTGATAGAATTGTTTAACTCATTGTCAGACTCTATTGTTTCTAATACAGAAACGTTATAAAAATACGTTGTTCACTTTTGTAATTTGTTCAATATAAAAGATATTACTGTTTGTGATGTTGGACATATTGTTATTGTTTCAATTTCAAGTGAAGTTCGTCGAAAGTGAATTATTAAACTGTTACATGGGTATTGGCACATTTGTACTTTCTCTGGTATTTAGATTTTAATTTATTTCAGTTATCAATTACGTATATAAACATCTATTATTGCCAGCAGACTTCACACCAACTTGGTTTATAAAACTTGTTTATACCTACTATGTACTCTTTCCGGCAATGTGAAACTACGACAAACCGTCCTATGAAACAAAAGAATGGCCTTTGCTAATTGAACTTATCCATCGTGAACCATTAACGGTAGCGTGATGTTTCTCCACTTACATAGCTAAGCTCTAGGCTTATGTCAACAAATTTTATCTTGAGTAAGTCCCAGTTCGCGTATGGTTTGCATGCGATAAGGAAGAACAAACCCATCAAAAGGTTTTGAAAAGATTAGATTAAATTGTCACGTCCAGTTGTTCGTATACCTATCGAATGCGAAAATACGATATTATATATCTATATGTGTATATAGAAATTCAAAAACTAAATCCTAAGGAAGTGATCTAAATTGCCTTGTTGAGGCTATGAAATAAGTAGACACGTTTTTTAAACGTTGCACCATTTTTGTTATTCCAGAATGAAACGTCATCTATTACACAGACAAATGTCGACTGATTATCGAACAGTAAATCATATTAATAACATGATGACTTGTTTTAGTCAATAGTGTTCAGATCAGTTATAATCAGTACCAACAAGCTTCCAACCATGAGGTGCTAGCGTTGACTGAATACTTTAACATGTATTTCTATAACTGATGTAGGCAACAATTACCACAATTTTATATGTCCAAGGATTTCATATTTTTCCAACATCGTTTCATGTGTTAACTTGTTGGAGATAAAAAAAAATGTATCAGTAGCGCAAATATTTAGACGATCTAATCCTTTAAAACTGATAATTATTCTGTAAAGATAAGATTGATTAAATCCATGGCGGTTATATTAGAAATCATATCAATAGTGTTCGTGAATGTCGATGTTTGGAAAAACGTCTCCCTCCAAGGTTTACTTAGTGTTATCTATAACAAACAAAATGGCAATATTATATCAATAAAAATCTACATCAGATAATAGTTGTTTTTTATTCCATTGATTTCAATTCGGACAAAGATCAGTGTGAGTCATCACTGCTTGATTACAACGTGAACTGAATTGATTTTTAAATATCACATGGGAGCGTACTCCTAGGATACTTGGGGAAAAACACGTAGTCTGACATGTCAACAAGGCCATTTGGGGGTTTAGAACATGCAGTTGATTGGAAGAAGGTTGCATAATGTGATAAATTAAAGTGCAAACAATTTCGTCTTATCCATGTCAAAAGAAAATTTTTCGAACGTCCTTTCTGAATTTGACATCTAGAATTATTAGTATGTGGATTTTGAAGAACCTTTGATCAATCTTCAACACCCTTTTCTAAGAAACACTTCTTCTATAAGATCACCACCATACTCCATTCTAGACTGAAAGAACGCCTTAATTCTCTTATTATGAGAGCTTTCTTCTTCAAGAAAGGTGAACGGCGGTGTAAATAGCTGATTGTGAACTATGCTGAAATGTGTTTCGTAAAAATTACGTCCAACATGCGGAGGAAGAAATCATAAAAATTATTGCATTGAGAAATATTCTATTTCTTTGTGTGACATGAAGCTGGACGTAATTGATGCTCATTAGTTTGCCTGTTGGAGCCGTTTTTTGCTCTTCCGTGACACCTGGTCTTATTCTCCTTGTATGTATGTAAATATATATTTGTTCTCATTTTGTTTTATTTGGGTTAGAATTATGATTATTTTGCCATTTTGCCCTAGTTTTTGCCATTTTGGTATTTTCTTGTTTTTGTTTGTTTTGTACTGGCATCGCAGTTACTTTTTTTAACAATATAAGTGTTTAATTAAGTGTTTTGGGACAATTATGGGCTTTTTCAAAACACATACGTGATCATGAATAGGTGAGCAATATGTAAGGCATCTGTTGATGTAGGTATTTATTCTTTTCCACTATGCTCTGCAGATGAAGGTAGTGCATATTGCAATATATTCCCATTTGTATTTTAAGGATATACACTATACGTTCTTCTGAATTCATGTATATTCAGAAATGAAAAATGCTAACTTCATTGATTATGGTTATGATTTTTTAGTCAATTATGGCTTTTCCTCACTCGTCTCCAAAGTTGCAAACAGTGTGTCACCGGTAAGTTCGAAAGGGACGAAATAGCTGTATGATTGAGTTTAATAAATTATTTGGCACTTCTAATTCTAAAATGCATTAAAATGCTATTTGTTTGTTTGTTTTTGTACAATTTAAGGAACGCTACAAAAAAAAAAAAAAAAAAAAAAAAAAAAAACATATTATGACTTTGCTCCTGTTCAAAACAAGATAGACAATGTGTTTCCAGTGTCCATCTTCTTGTTTTGTAGCCCGGTTGGCAATGAACGCGGTCAGTAAATTTTTACTGGCAACATGTGTCTTCTTGGTGATGCTGTACTTAGTGTTATTCAAAGGACAAAACAGTTTTCTGACACATAATACAGGTGAGTAAATCATATTTATTACAGGTAATTTTAGTAAGTACAATTACTGAAGCAACAAGTGGTTTTTTTCCTTCTTCTTTTTTAAACTTGTACAAGTGAAGTTTTTAGAGCACATCAATTCACCTGGTCACAACAAATACAGGTAAATCTTCTTAATATTGATTAACAACTTTGCATGTGCAAAGACAGGAGAACGAGAAGTTAAATTCAAATCGTCTATCACACCACTTCTAATTGTGATATTGATGCAAGATGTGACACAGAATCCGTTAATGCAATACTGCTTTTCAATCTACATCTTGTTATATATTGATAAACGTAAGAAAGGGGAATAATACATGTGATATTCAACTACACCAATATCTGTGAGATAACATAACGATTCCTTATGAGAGGAGGATAAAAATAATGATGATAAACAATTCCTGCATGGTAACAATCTCAGACTTTACGATCAAAACATTTTGTGAGGCTTTTTCGACATCCAGGAATAAAACCTCTATGACCTGGCTTATTATATCGTTAATTTCTTATTTGTTGATAATGATAAAATGAATTAAAAAATCAAACATATAAATAGATATATAATATCAATTGTTTTTTCCCTGTCCAAATCATAGTTTTGTGTTCTTGTCTTGAATTGTACACGGGTACTGCGGAGGCTTCTATCAGAAACCACAAGCTTTTCGAAATATACGTTGAAACAAAGATTCAATATATTCATTGGCGGATTTTCATGATGCAGCATATTGAAAATATAGATAAAATTCATAACATACCTTAAAATCCCCTGTTCTAGTAGTGTACAAATTTATTTAATGTACTCTAAATAATAAACACCGACATCATTTCTCGTTGGCACTTGAGTCAAGGAATCTACAACATGTAAAATTCTAGATTAAGAAACTTAAGAAAAAGTTTTATTCTTACATAGGAGGGGATTCATTATACAAAAGGACATGCTTGTATACTATGTGTCAATATGCATCTAAAACAAATGATCCGATTTGCCTTTTCACTCCTAAAATGTTTCCAGATTTTTCTTGGAATCTATTGTTCAATGTATTATATATGTAGACCCGTTTCTCGTTCAGAAGATGTAGTGTTATTAAACTGGTAAATATTTGATGATGTATGTATTGTAATCTATTATGATTTATGTATATTACAGATGAGGACACAAGTTGTAACGTGATGAAGGCTTCACGTTTATCTAGACCTATCAATAACTGATCTTAACACTGTTTCTGGTTATTAAAAGTTCTTTTGATTTTTTTTTCTACAGAAGCTGTTGTCTGTCCACAAGAGAAAAGTGGTATATCTGTTGCAAGTATAGAACAGCTGTCTTCAGACACGATCGAGAAGGACAGAACAAAACCAATATCTATACCTGTCATTCCGGTTCATGCAAATGACTACAATGTAAACCGCCCTACATATAACCTGAACCAGTCAATCATTCAAACTGACTGGTTCACGGCAGCATCGTTCCTGGAACTGTACGTTTGTATGTTGTTAATTAAGTATAGTTATGTCATTTTCCTTCATCATTGGTGTTTTTAGGTACTGTATAACAGGTTGTGTTTCAAAGGATAAAATTACGCGAGTAAGTTTGATAATTCAAAATATCAATTATCTTTAATTCACTGAATAAGAGCAAATCATTGGAGGTTTTGTAATGCAATATACGCTGATATGTAAGTGTAATAGCTGCTAAACGCAGGTATGTGCCACCGTCAGCCAGTTTACATTGTCTCTGATATCATGATTAATTGGTGCTACATGTGAATGTATAAAATTGTGGGATAAAAACGTACAGTGTATTGAAGAACCCACGCTGTATATAACGGTTATACAATGTAGATAATAATTTCAGTGTTCGCGTTCAGAATCCGTGTTTTACAATTAACATTAACTGTGATAGACTTACTGAGGGTGATTATGGAGATAATCCACTTGGTCGGACATGTGACCCTCACCTTTTCAAGTCCGTACCTCGAATCGAACCCTGCACGGCTAGGTGAAAGGGGAGTGCGTTACCACTGCGCCACCCGACCACCCCAGTATTTTGTTATACGATATGGGGTCGGGTGCTTTGATTCTCGTTATTGTGCCTACTGGTTCCGTACCTTTTAGGAAAGTGACATTTCTGCGATAGATCGACAGAGATGTACATCACGAAAAACCAGACGACGTTTACCTTAAAGAACAGCTGGTCCTTTTCTTCCTTTGAATTTCCATGGGTCTGTGTACATTTTTTGCCAAATAAATCGAATTCGAGTTTGAATTAATATTCTGTTGACATGTCGGTATTTTCTTTGTTTATTTTCAAGGCAATTTAACCAAGTCGAACTATACTCTTAAATCCAAAGTAGCTTACAAATCTTTTATTCAAAATGATGAATTATTTGCGGTAGGTAGCTGCCGACCGTCATGGCTGATGGGTAGACAAGCTAAAACCCATGTTTGCTAAGATGACATGAACTTTCAGACTGTATTAAAAACATTGTGTACTTGAATCTTATATCTTCTGAAAATGACCTTTCTTGCCAATTTAGAGATTTTCGTAAGAGGCCACAGGAATACCGCTGTCGAAATTCCACTCACATGGGTAACTGGTATGTGTGTCTAGATGGAAAATTCCTGCCAGAGTACCCCTGTCTTGTATACTCATTCGGGTAAGTGATGTCCTCTGCGATATTTGAAGGGATATTTATTTTCATAAGTAAAACAAAACAAAGAACAAAAAGAAGATAATTTTCTTACTGCAAAACGACACTGAAATTTCAGGAATTGACACGGCGAGTATTATTTCAAATATATACACAGTCATATGTTTATAAAAATAGACTGATTAAGAAATGTTTTAAATACCCACACCCTGTTTCATGAGATACATTTATAGATGATACAAGGATTTAACAAAACTCAATAATGTATGTTGTAGCGTTGCAGATACATAACATGTATAATAGTTACTACACTATCCTATATTTTCATGGGGTTTAAATACGTGTTCTCAAAAACGAAACTTTTTTCGTGTACACTGGGTGTTAATATAACCAATCCTTACTGATAATGATATGTAAACAATTTGGAAATATATAATTTTGTAGAATTATGAATTAGCGAATTAAGATAGTAACGAAATGATACAAGATGATACAAGACTGAATCATAACTGTCAATATGTATATATATGTGATAAACAATGCTCTTTATTCCTGTATTGCATAATTTATAAAATGGATATGTTTGTTTTGCAGTCTACACAAATCTCATCCAAATTGTTCAACGTTTCGTTTAATTCACTCAATTATTAGTGAAAACAAATCGAAATTGGAACTATTGTGTATGAACTCAGACAGTGCAATTTGATATGTTTGTAACGTTAACTTCGCTTCTCCGTTTCTTGGCAGTAAAATTGATATTGAGGTAAACGCATCATACTAGTCACTTTTTTGTGTCCATGAATTTTTTAATTTATTTTGTTTTTTTATGTGCTGTTTTCAGGATTGGAAATGATTTTTCCTTTGACGACGACATGGCTGAACAAGGTTGCGAAGTGCATTCATTTGACCCCAGGTGCGTTCATATGTGGTGCATTGTTATCTTTGGTTAGGTATGAAAGCTACACACATTGAATTTATTTAAAGTAGGTCAATGATTTGACCTAAGTGCAGCCTATATTATATGAAATACCAAGTATAGAAAATGAAAATTCACAACTTAAGCAACCTTTTTCGGATGATTATAAGCGTTATTTATCAAAAGACCCCATATGAGTAGCGGTATCTTATTATATCATAGATTGTACATACGACACACAAATGAACAGCACAATGCATATTAAGAATTGGAGAAAGTAGAGTCAAATAATGTATTAATCTGGATCATACAGCTGTTTGGTGATTCTTCGACCCGTTTGTGATGCGAAGTGTCTGACTTATGTAACCTGGGAGACGACAGAAGAAATTAAAAAGTTATCGAACTAAATGGCAAAATATATTTCCCCCAAAGACTTTTATATCGTAAAAAATAGTTGAAATGTCTACCACGTGCTCAAAGCATATGTTGATAGCTCAATATCGATTCACTACAACAATACCTTTACAAGTCAGGTTTTCGCGATTTTGTTTTAAAACGATTGACTTTCATTTTTATGAACTAAATTTCGTGATCTGGATGTAAATGTATTTCTTACACTATGTTTCATAATTTCGGGGATTAAAATTTTGCCGTCATTTTGATGTACTGTGAAATAGCGAAAAGATCAACCTCGCGAAAATGACCAACTATATGGTAACATGCCTATGATTAATGTTCAGACTAGATAAACATCGTCATCAATCCTGCTCTATTTTTCAGTATGGGAGTTAAAGATTACATTAGGAATTCTACAGTCCATTTCCATGCCATCGGTCTAGGTGGTAAGGTCATTGAAAACTTCAACGCGAGAAAGGATATGTATGTACGTGAGAAACAAACATGGACGATTATGACGCTAGGGTCAATAATGGCGGCTCTAGGACATAAAGATGTAAGTAAATTGACCAACAGAAAGCATTTATTTATTTATCTATCATTTATTTATTTATTGTGATAACAATTAAATGCCCAGACAATGACGAAAATGATAAAACGCAGAGTGAGAAAATTGTATGATAGCCATCAATTGGAAGTGTATTTTCTTGTAAATTAGGGGAGATTACGAAACCTTATTCTCGGCCCCTATTTGCTGTCAAGCTTATCGCTATACCATTAAATAGTGAGCTCATGTCAGAAGGGCGTGGCATTCCCTTTCCACTGGAAAGAATATTCCCGAAAACAAGATTTCTTGATAGCCATTTATGAACAGGTTTTTCAGACACTGCGGATTTGGGACCTATCTGTTGTGACTCAGCAAACACTATATCTCACAGCTGACAAAGGTTAACGCTAACATGTGTTTGCTGACATTAAGATAAGGGGCAAAATGATCGACCATGACAACTAAACGTTGTTATCTGCTGCAGATGTGGAAATATTTCAAACAACAGTTGGAGTCATGCCAAAAATTTATAGCAATGTCTTATAGAGAAGTAGCTTATCCCACAAATTAATAAGGTGATTGATGTGACAACGGAAACGTCCCATTGGTGGTTCAAGTTTTGAAACAAACTTAACTTCCGGATTAGCATGGCCTATTATAAGAAACGAAAAAGAAAATTCACGAATCCATAGTGTAAAATTTGAACCATCGAAAACAACATTTATTTTGAGAGATTAAAAAATAGGTCAGTATTTTAGAATTAAACGACTTTACAGTGAATGGTGAAAAGAAATTTTAAATATATTAGTTTAATATGGCATATACGTTAATAAGAGTAGGGCTAATAATGCTTATGTGATTTTGATATAAACACATATTAGAAATTGCTTTTTAAAGTTCTAGAACAAATTGTAGGTCTGAAAAACAGGTCTACAAGTATATGTATATTAAAACGATTTAAACAAAAACAATAGGGATACAGACACGTCAATGAAGTCTTAATTTAAACACAAATTTGTGAAAACAAAATTTGACCAAAAGAGAGATTTACATGTAGACTCACGAAAACGTGCAAGAAGACTAAGACGAATGTTCCTGAAGTGTGTTGTCCAAATCTAAATAAGTAATGTCACGTTCCAAAATGAGAATAAGTGTAAAAATAGTGGAACCACAACGGATACCAACGACCATTAAACACGTCCAGCTTCACATTGTACAAGGAAAATGGTTATATATGAGATGACCATGTCGGTCGTAAAAAGTCTTACCGAAAATTTAACGAAGAATGAACATTCTCATTGCTCCAGGGATTACGATCACTTTTGCTCTCTGTATTGGCAAAATTGAAGGCAAAGAATTTGATTGGTTCATGGAGAAAAACAACTGACCAATCACAGGATGATTCGCTCCTTTTGAAGATTACAAAGGAGCGACATCCATCATCAAAACCATGAAAACATACCATTATGCAACCTCGAAATTCGTTCGATGTACATCAAATTTTGTTTTTATCATCCATGAAACATTTGAGTTAAGAAACCAGATCAGATACAGTGACACTTTTAATAGTAAAGCTATTCACGTATACGGCCCCTGTATCATTCGTCAATTTCACCATTATTGAATCCTTTTTTTGTCCATTGCTATATTTACAATGGTCGATAGAGGTCGGACAGGGTTTTTGCCTTACATGTTAAAAGATGCATTTTAAAGTTCTAAGTTGTTTACAACAAAATAGATTTTCGTATAGTACAACTAGCTTGAATTTTAGTGACATATCAAGGACTACATTTAGTCTAATACATTGTTGTCCCATCAAACTCTCAAACATTGGCTATGTAAATACCATTGTGTAGAACATCTAGTCACATTAACATTGTTGGTTGGTTTGGAGACCCAATGAACTTTTTATCATTAGTGTCGAATTACATTTCTGTAGTTGTTTACAAGCGCTTTTGTCAAGATACGAGGCCTTTTCAAAGTACACACATACAATATGTTCGTGTTTAATTACTTTTATAGTGGTATGAATTGTTCTTATTTTATAGCGGGATATAGACGTTCTTAAGATAGACGTGGAAGGTCATGAATGGGCAGTGATTGAATATCTTCTACAGAGTGGACTGTTGCCAAGGATTAAACAGTTTTCTTTGGAGTATCACCTATTTCCAGATTGGCCAGCAAAATCAGAATATCCAAAATTATTAAACATTTATAGACAATTAAGTCAAAGTGGTTTCAAAAAATTCTGGTTGGGACTGCATCCTTTAGATCATAAACCAGAATCATTTAATATTCAAGCAGATGTTGGTTACGTTAATATGCGTTATAAACCACAGGGGAGATAACCATGACATTAATAGTTTATTCACTATTTTCACCCCTTACCGATAAATTCAAGCACGGTGCTACCTCTTGTACAGAACATCATTCTTTCACTTCGCTTTAAATGTACTTGATAAAACTTCCTCATGACATACTGCTCCGTCCGTCAACTTTTCACACTAAGCGCTACTAGTCATATCCAACTTACAGAATTTTGACCAAATTTGGTCAGAAACATCCCTACGGTAAGCCCTGCGGGGCTGGGCTGGGCTGTACTGTACTGGGCGTGGCGGGGCCCAATAAGGCAAATTTTAAATTCCTACTCCTGCTTTAGGAATGGTTGGATTTTGCCGACATTTAGTCTGCAGCAAAGTGAAGAAGGAATCAAATCTGTATGAATGGTAGGATCTCAGCCCCTTTGAGCGGGAGGAGAAAAAACGTCCTTCTCCTCCTTTAGGTATGCATAGATATTTCTCAAATTTACTGTGAAGTTATCTGTGATGAAGCAGAATCAGATTTGTATAAACAATGGATTCTGGTCCCCTGGAGTAGGTGGCGCGGGGCCCAATTTGGGAAATTCCTTACATTCCTACTTCTATATTAGGAATGATTAGAAATCACCCAAATTTGGTCAGTATTCTTGGGGAAGGGGAACAAAGTTTATGTAAGGAATGGTTCTCAATTCTCAGGTTCTTTAGAGGCGGGACCCAAAAGTGGAAGTTCTTTGAAATCTTACTACTCCTATAAGAATGAATGGATATTGCCCAAATTTGGTCAGTAGTATTCTTGAGTGAAGGGAACAATGCTTGTTTAAAGATTGGTTCTCAGTTCCCATGGGCTTTAGGAGAGGGGCTTAAAAGGACAAATTTTGCAAATTCTTTGAAATCTTACCTCTCCTATAAGAGTAAATGAATATCTCCCAGAATTGGTCAGTAGTATTCTTGTGGGAAGAGGACTATATAAACGGCGCATCCCGGTCCCTAGGACAGGAAGCGTGGGCCCAATTAGGGAAATGTAAGTACTAGAAAGTCCTTCTTCCATGCAAGGATATTGTCCAAGTTTGGTCTGAAGCCATTTTTATGAATAGAAAATTTGACCTCTGTTGGACGAAAAGGGCGGCAACCAATAATTATATCAGAAATTGTTTGACATGTTTGAAAATATTTATCAAATGGCTGAATATCTAAATTATACAAGTGTGCTTTGCAGGCTCTTTGGACCCCTAGATTTCATTTAGTTTACAAATAGTGTCAAAATGAGTGTTTGTATGAAAACATCACATGTGTAATCGTGGATGTCTATCTCTTTACATGCATTTGATAAAAATCTTTTCTATGAAAAAGACACGTTTTAATTTGCATGTACTTGTTCTTATATCAAATAAGCATAAAAGTAATGTTATAGTTAGTTTTTGTATGAAAAAAGTCGTATATGTAGTTATGGATATCTGTACAGCACTGGTATTTTGTAAACCCTGTAATCATGCTAGGCATATTGAACTATAAATCTACGGTTTTGTAAACTTGAGAAAGTTTGTTTTTATTTTACATGATTGCAATCAATGAAGATGTTGCTTTTACATGTTTTTGTATTGCAATGTGTGGAATATTACCTATTATGACATTAGCTTTAGATAATATATACCCATACAGAGTCGATATGACTTGGATGACCGTGTTCTACAATATTTGCTTGCTTAATCGACCAGGTTTTAACACTTGTCTCAAATGCGTTTCTGTTTGACGTTTTATTATTTTCGAGCTTAAATGAAAAAAACTAAACCTGAAATTGTTTTAAAAATTAGATATGGAATGGTAATTCTATCTAAAACCTATTTTAACATTGAAGATCTACCAATCGGTTGAACAGTCGTTTAGCTGTTGTCCAAAATATTCAGCACATCAGGATTGTTTTATTGACAAAATTCCCCGTCTTGTTTGGCAATAAAGGAAATTTCGAGAATGTGTCAAAACAGTATAATATCTGTATAAAGTGAGAATGTTTATGTTTTTTAAGGCACATGGGATCTCCGTTATATATCATTATTCTACTATAAGGAACATATGTGCCTTCGTGAATATGTGTATGAATGTGTAAAATCTTGTGGAATGACAAATGAATTTCGTGAATGGTTAAATGTCTTTTTTTTTCTGGACGGCGAGATATGGTGAAATGAAAAAGGCGTCTTGTCTAACATGAACTAAAAAAACAGAATGTAGAATTGATGTCTTCATGATGAATATTTAGTGTGAATGATAAGAACTATTTAACCTTTACTTCAAGTGTTTGCTTTGAATTTCATTTTATATATTAAACAAAATATAACACTGTCAACGAGACTAAACTCTCTACGACTGCGTGATTCTCATCGTGTTAATTAACCTACATTTCTCACATGAGTGTTTCAATGGATACACGTTCCGTATGCCATCAGCCTCTGTTGTTGCTTCCCAGAAACTGATCCTGTTTATAGTCAGAATTATAGAATTCCTATCGCGTTGTTCGTTACTGTAAATTCATATACCTTCAGGAGGCTCAATATTCGTATGTTCATAAAAAATCGCTATTTCGTGGACATTCGATTTCGTGGATAAATATAGCTCAATGAATCTATTCTCACTACTCTTAATAGATCGGAGAAATGTACATTCGAAAAAGAACCCACGATTTCATTAAAAATAATCTCTCGCGAAAATCAATAATAATACAGTAACCGCAATAGAATGATGGGTGTACAGTTGTATTAAGTAATTGTAACGTTCTACCGAATGATAATGACTCGCTGTTATGTCTATTAACACTGACACCTGTTTTTAACCTTGTCTTTAGCAGGTATTTCTTCAGCATTCAGGTCGCCACACATATATCCATAAAAATACATTGCTTTATATTCTTTTACGTGTGCGTTTCACATTACGTGGCATTGAACTACGATGCTATATAAATAGACCATCGATCACAAGCTATTGGATGAACAATAGAATACGGCACCGGATATACAGTACAGTTGAAGTACCTGGTAATAGTTCGTATGTGTTGTTTTGGTCATTGTAAATAAACCTGAGCGCCCTTTCTAGAACTTTTGCAATTATTTTGGTATTAGTTACGCAACAAAAGTGCCATGTGAGTGTACAGAAGTTGAAATTTGATAAGATGAACCAGTGATAGATGATCAGTTCTAATATGTTAATGTGTTTTCCTATTCGTCTGAGCACATTTAGTTGTTTACATGCTTTTTTGCAGATGTTTGAGACGTATGTGAAAATTCAACTGAAAATTTATTGTGTTCCCTAACAATCTGTCTACTGGTTCACATTTGATTGTGTTTCCAAATCGAAATGTAATATTTTTTTTGTATTTTTTTCCAATAGCAATGCCCTGAAATGTGTCTGGATTTTCTTGCATGTGGTTGTCTATGAACCAGCATATGATTATATTGCTGTCTTTTTGTAGTGATGATTTTATAGTGTCTAAAGATGTATGTGTAATAGGGTTAAGTTTTAGGTAATTTTGGCCGCCGTTGTCTAGCGTCGCGCCGTTTGGATTTCCTAAAATCGTCGGCGTATTTGTAGAGATCGCAGTGTTGTATAAAGTGACAGATGTCGTTGTTGGATATATTAATGAGGATTGGGTCTAAATTTGAACATTGAGGGACTTTGTATATTGAGAGAAAAGTGCCTGTATGACATCCTAATTTTACATTTAATGTCCTGTGTTTGAGATAGTCTGAAGTTATGTTGCTGAGTTAGAGAGTCCATATTTCTGTCGGAGTAGGAGGAGATTGTGTGGCAGACAGTCAAAGGCGAGAGATCCACAAGTATACAACCAACATAACTGTGCTGGTCTTATACCACATACCTGTCCTCAATGACCCCCAATAAAGCCGTTTGACACCCATAGCCAGCCCTACATGATGACAAGTAGGGGTGAAAAACACCTTCAAAGAAGTGACAAAGCTGTGTGTGCATGCATCTCTCAAAAACCGTAGAAAGGGCGGGAAGCATATAGTTTCTATAACTATAACTTCCTTTATCAAATGTGCTGTTCTTTTTTTATGGTGGTCTGACTTGTGTTATTTTTAGTGAGTCTGGAAATTTAGATGTAGTGAGTGAGAATTAATCATGGTTGTGCTTAATTTTAGTAGTTTTGGTGGGATGTTGTCATATCCTGTAGCTTTCTTAGGATTTATTTTGTATAGTTAATTGGTGATGAAATCTTTGTCTACTGGTTTAAATGTGATCTTTGTTTCTTGTTGTGTGTGTTCTGTCATAACCTGCTGGCCTGGGTGGTCCTCGTCAATATTACGTCTGGTTGTCCCAATAATTTTAGCTACATTTACTAAGAAGTTGTTGAAGATTTCTGCAACATGTAAACTTTTGTTTTCAGTTATACAAGGGGGTCTGTATACGCCTTGCATTAGCCATTTTACATTGTTTGGATACAGTTCGATAGATATTTATTTACTGTCTTCAAAGTCCATGGTTTTCATACGATGAGCAGGCAGGTCGGGTCACAGGTATGTCGCTGCGTCTCATCCGTGTATGGTTCTGCCAGCTGTCCTTATATGGTGGTTATCAACACTAAATTGTGCATCTGGGAGCTGTCGTCAAGTTTTGCTTGGAAACGAACAGCTAATTTTTTGCCAGGGCCACAAATGCATCGACTTGAAAACAACTGTGCAATCGAGGAAAGTGTGAATTAATTCTCTGGTGATTTAACGCATTTCACGTATTGTATGTCACAGAATATCAAACAGGACTTAACGGGACTTAACAGAAGGTCGGTGTGGTGCTGAACTCGCGAACATTAAACTTGAAAAAAGTGCGTTGTATATGTACTGCAAGGAAACATCGTAACCGTGTGACAGTTAACGTTACTATTAAAAGTTAATCCCTGTGCGCATTCCTGAACCGTATACAGTAAGTTAATCCTTATCGCCCATCATCGCGGCGATGACCGGGGATTGATGTACGCATGTCTGAACCGTATACTGTAACTTAATCCCTGTCGCCCGTCTTCCTTG